AGTTGGCTTACTGTTCCTCTAAAGGCACTGTTCAAAATCAGAGGATGAGTCAGCCAGAACCAAGATTAAAACTAGGACTCTTGTATAGTCTTGTACTACGTCTATATTGGAAAATGTAATTCTACTTCATATTGGCATGCGTTTGTCTGTGATCTTTGTGCTGCTTGCTGGTAATGAAACTACAAGAAACTGGTGAAATAACACACTTTTTATTAGAGAATTTTTGATAAAGTTGTCTTTCATCTCGTGATTCCTGAGATGTTACTGTTGAATTATGGAAGGTTTTTTTTCAGCAGCTGTAAAATACTGGAAGAGTAAGAATATTGTTGAAAGGAACTGTGGCCTCTTTTATCTTGCTTGTGCTGTTCTTCAGTCAGTAATTCATGAAAGTTCATTCTTTTGTTTTCATTCTTTCTTCCTCTTCCTTCTCTTGTGGCTCTGTAGGATGTTTTTCAAGAACAAGTATTGTAACTGATATCTTTTTCTTCTGAGCCAGTGTGAAGAGCCAGGGTTTTTGGCAAATCGGGAGGCAATGCTGCAGGTCTGATTTGAAGTAAAAGGTTGATTAATGTAAGGGAAAAGGTCTAGTTTTGTTTCAATCAAAACTTAGTACATCTTGAATAAATAAAGTAAACTTAATTTCTTTCTCTGTTTCATAATTTGTTTGCGCTCATTCTGTATTTTAAGGTTATTTCTATAGGCACAGACTTGAAACAATTTTTAAAATTAAAACCTGAGACTTGTAGCACAGTTTTCTAATGCAGTCTGTATTCATATGTAGTTTACAGAAGATGAAGTTCTTATTCTGTGTGTATTAAAATTCATGATTATTCTCCAATATATTTTCTGAAAGACTGAAACTTCTTTGCTGCTTGCAGTGTTCTTCTTGTGGAGTTTGATAAATTACTAAAATGTGTGAAACCTAATTAAGAGATCATTATTATTTGACTCTCCCTGCCTTTCATATCTACTGTTTCAAGTAGGGAGGAGATACACCTTTATGATGTCAGTCTAATAGTTATTAAATAATAACAACTTAATCCTATCTTATGACCATATGATGTATATAATCTGTCCTCGAGTAAATTATCTGACTATTTTTTTATGATGTCTCTTCAAGGATCTGCATCAGACTTGAGTAAAGGGAGGCTTAACTACACATGACATTAAAAATATTTTAAAGTGTAAAGTTTTCTTAAATAGTTTGCAAATTTATGTCTTGCTGAACGATGATAACTTGTTTGAACAGACAATGAGTAAGTTTTGAGATTTCCATTGCTGGCTGAGCCTTTTGAAACTGTCCTTTGTGCTTTCTAGGACTGAATTATGGAGAAAAGAAAAAGGTACAGCTTATCGTGACCTACATCCATCTATAGATTCAACACAAAGTGTTCCAAAACACAATATACAAAAAGACAGTCTTGTTGATCAAGCAGCACTCCAGAAAATTTCTGCGCTTGAAGATGAGCTAACCTTTCTTCGTGCTCAGATTGCTGCGATTGTTTCAGCGCAGACATCGGGAAGCATTCCGTCACGTAAGCCCTTCTCATTTGAAGAAAACCAAGTTTTCCTTTTTTTGCTTTAGAGTTCCTGTTCACAGCTGGCCATGTCTGATATTGACAAAGAACATCTCTAACTTCTGTAACTGAAGTTATACCAAGTAAATGTACAGAATATAGTATTTTGTTTCTCTTTTAGTTTTTGGTGTTGCTTTTCCCTTCCTCTCTTCTATTTTGTAGCCTGTTTACCAATTTCGAATGCAGTTGATCCTAAGTGATCTTTATACTCATTTCCATGTTTGTGAAAGAACTTAGTAGCAACACTATTCATAGGCTAAAAAAGTTACAGACTAGAAATTATCCCTTTTGGGTTTTGGCCTGTTTCTGGCAAGTTATCAAAATAATGAATAGAAAAAGTATTCTAAGTCATTCAGGTTCAGGCTTTGACAAAAACAAATGCTGCAAATAAATGTGTCACTAGCATATCAAAGATAAAAGTTCATACTGGACACCAACTATCTCGTGACTTTTTTTCTCACCCCCTTTAAAAGTTTCGAGTTCTTGATTGTCTTACTTGTAGACTAACCCTGCTGTGGTTGTTGAAATATTTGGACTGGTGTGAGGTAGTTACCTTTGCATGGTATTGTGAGTCACCTCTGTGCTACAGTTAGCTTTTCTTTTGACTCTTCCTTTGCTGCTTCTCCATTGCACTAAGTGTTGTAGTCTGTTTTACATGGTTTGTGGTTATCTTTGCTTTTGCTTCATGTGGGTTATTCTGACCTTCAGACCACTGAGAATGAACTGTATGTAGTAGTAGTAGCAGGCTGCTTTGCTGTTGGAGGGCTGCTTTGCTGATTTATCTAGCGCTTAAGATTGAAGACACAAATGGAGACAATTGGAACAGCACAAGACACTTCAGTTTAATTATTTTACATGTTCTGAATCTGTGGCTTTGAAATAAAAGAAGTTCTTTAAGTATAATTTTTGTGTGGTATAATGTGTGAGGTGTGTAAGAAAGTCCTTTCAAGATAAGACAGCCCTCTTAAAACAGAGTCATTCTAGATGTTGCTTAATATTGTTAATTGTGAAGATATAAAGACTAAAAATAAAATCACTGTTTTTCTTTTCTAACTGTGTCCAGAAACCTTTAAAACATTCAGCATTCCAGATGGATTTTACCCAGTGCCAGCCATGACTTCTACGCCATTGTCCGTCTCTCACAATCACTTTGTAATTCCCTCGCCTCCTCCACTTCCTTCTGGTGTACCATCTGGTGTCGATGCTAGTAATTCGGCAATTGAACTTATAAAAAAGCGTCGTGCTTCGAGAAACAGTGGTTCAACTGCAGCTGATAGTGCTGATCACCAGAGGACAAAGAATATTCCTAGTATGATGGATGTTTTGAAAGACCTAAACAAGGTTCAGTTGCGAGCTATTGAGAGGTAGGTTGAATTGAATGTGTATCTGAGTAAGCCAAGACTCTGTAAGCATCACAGCACTTCAGTAGCACCAGAGAGCACCAATGTGAAACATCATTTAATGTGCAGCTACTGCTAACAAACTTAAGTTGGCAAGTTCTAAGTTCACAGCTTGGAATGTAAGATACTTGTGACGTGACTTTTAGATGCATTTAAAACACGCCAAGTATCACAGCATTTAAAACTGGTCATCTGCTTCAGTATACAAATCTCAGGTTGGTGCGGGGAGGTGGGTGTGTTGCTATCTGGAGATCGCTTACAAAGTTGCCTACACAGTCACAGGAAATTGATCTGAACAAATAAACTTTGGATTCACTGTGAAAGGATAAATCCTTGGGGAAGCACTGGAAAACTACAGTTAACATACACAAAGTATTCTGGTTCTAGCTTTAAAGTGTTAAAGAAAATACATGCTGTATCTTTCATTGAAAATGTTTTGTAAATTTGTATTTCAAAAGTGCAGTTGGATTATAAATATTTAAGATGTTCTGCTGTTTTGATGGTAAGCACAGTTGACATGTGACAATAATGCATTACTGAAGACTGCAATACCTCTTCAGGTCAGTGTTGCTCTACAATGCTAGGTGTGATGGAGGTTGTTGGATGTCTTTCCTGAACTTCTCGAGTATCTAAGAACAGCTGAGTCTATAATGAATATTCGGAGCTCTTAATGTGGGAATAATGTCACTTGCCAAAACTTACTGCATTCTTATTTCAGCATTTTCTTAACTGTGAGGTTTATCCCTGAAAATAACTAGCAAAAGTCTTGGGCAAATTATCTATATGCAATTCTAAAGCATACCCTTACACTTTTGATGACATTTTCACAGTAACTAAAGCAAATACAAAATGCACTTAGGTAAGCCTATGTGTTTCCTTAGATCTGTTTTCTTCCACATAATTCCATGTACAGTGAATGAAGGAAGTGAAATGTTGAGGTTGACAATTTCAACAACTATCATCTTGAGCAGGGGCATAATTAGTGGGAAATGGTAGGTGTGCAGCCAAAATGCTTTCTGGATTTAGATATCTACCTGTATTCTGAAGGTAGAACTTAACTGAATAATGAATTTATGTTATTGGAGGGAGTAATGATCAAAATTGCTATGATCTTTCAGGCAGCTGACATATCTTAATATAACTTAGGAGACCTGCTATGAAAACTGCACATTTTGCTTTTTTCCTCATTATTTATTTGCAATACTTTAATACTTCGTGCTGATTAACTACCATTTTTCTATGTGGAACAGCATCAAGTTGTATTGTCAAGCTAAGAATCTGTCTGTCAAGTTGTTGGGTGTACTTGTATTAGTCATGTTTGGTGAACTGCTGTAAAATAACATTAGCAGCATTATTTGTGTACTCAGGGATTTATAGGATAGAGTGTATACAGAAGTTCTCTCTCTAGATTTTGGGTCACTCAGCACAGGATTAGTGGCAGGAGACAATAATTCTCATTCTTTGTAGGTCACCTGGAGGTACTCCTCTTTCTAAACCCAAAAAGAGGCAAAGTTCAGATTGGGATCCAGTTGCTCTACTAACTCATGCACTGAAGCAGAAATTTGCACATAAAAATGATGATGAAGATGATTCCCTGGACAAAGAAAACCGATCTTTTGATAGCTCTCCATTTTCTAGTCCAGAGATCCCACTGGTATGTTTTTATATAAGAATGTGTTTTTATATTCTTGAAGTGACTGCTGTTTTCCTGGATAGTTTTTTTACAAGTCTACAACTTCTCTACAATGTTTTTAAGCCATCAGCCTAGGTGGTTGCTCTTTTTCAAGTATAATCAAGGCAGAGAATCTCAAAGAATAATTATTTTGGGTGGATGTAGACTAGTAAATATACTTCTAGATGTGCCAAGAGACAAAACTTAGAAGACTGACTTTAAAAATTCAGCTCATAGTTGGTTGATCTATGGTTGTTTGCTTGATGGTTACAGCAGGTATCGAAGCATAGAAATTGTGTGTCTAGTTAGTAATACTACTTATTGACTAATTTTACAAATAAAGATGCTAGGAAGGTACAGAAGGTCTGACTAATACATGCTATGCCCTCAGAAATGAAAATGGAAGCATTGTCTATAATATTTTTCTTTGAGGTAGCATCATTTTCACACAGTTTACTTCATCCAGCGTGAGATGTGATTCTGAATGCTGTTGCAAAGCCCATGAAAAATACAAATGTTTGTTTTCGCTACAAACAAGAAAAGTGCGGTAGACAGAGCCATCTGACTAAGATGATCCTGAGCACTGGTCTCTGTAGAGCAGCCTGTGCAAGCTCAGTGCAGTCCAGCAGTAGTTGGCTAATTGTTAAGAGACATCCACAAACATCAGAACTGCTTAGATGAGATGGATAGAAATAGGTGGCAGTAATTTAAACTGCGTCTCTGCTTAGCAATTCTAACTTTATTTCTTAAGAGTGAGAGAAAGATTTGGACTGTGGCATTTGTTAGCCTAATGGAGGGAAATAATAATGCAAAACATGTCATGGAAATCCAGACGCTCTTTGAAGACTGCTGCTTATATGTGCGGCTAGCTGCTTGGCTGAAAACCACACATCTAGGTTTTCCTTAAGTTTTATTTCCAGCTGTAATGATTTGGTTTGTTTTGTCTTTTTTAATTTCACTTGCCACAAGGATTCTGCAAGAGAAATGTAGCATACAGACTGTAGTGAGTCAAAAGCTCTGGTGCAGCCTTAGTAAATTTCCTTGTTGGCTTTTTTTTTCCCCAAAGGAAAAATTAGAAACTTGTTAAAAACAGCCAGGCTTGTATTTTGGATGCTACAGACTCTTGCATTGCATAGCTGACATACCTGATTCTAGATACAAAGATCAAAGTTAGATCCTGAAACATCTTGTTTATGAAATAGCTTTTGTTCCAGGATCTAATGGCTGAATTATAAAGTCCTGGAAGGGAGATTGTTTAAGGCCAGCATATTCAGAAGTAGACACAGAAAGATGGACTTTTTCTGGTTAAAGCAGAATAATCTTATGAGCTTGTGATCAAGCTTCTAATTATTTAGCCTTGAGTGTTTTGAGGAATAAATGTACATAAAGCAATTGCACAGGCGTACTATTTTATTCTTCCTACGTTAAGTGCAAAAACTCTTCCAAACTGTCTTTATTGTAAACATCTTCTATTCAGTTGCCTTTGATATAATTTTGTTTAACTCCATCTCTGCTCCCCAGGTTGGACGTTGCAGTCTGAAGTCAAATGCAAAATCTAGTCTTAGGAGAACTGATGAAGTTAAACAGGTACCAACGTGGAAGGTGAAAGCTCATATTTAACAGATGGAGACTTCTGAGGAAACTTCATAGTGTGTGTAAGTGGCAGGTCCACTTTGAAACTGCTGTAAGGTGCTGTAATGTGTTGTAGAACATCTCTTCAATGCAATTGTGGTTTGGGAGTTGCAGGGTTTGTAAAATTTCTGCCTCTTTCTCCTTAGTTTCACAGCAAACTTGTGAATGTGATGCTTTTCTGAGAAGCACAGAACCAAAAGAAGGCTTCTATTGCTATGGAGCAGTATGTTTGAAACCTGGGAAATGCAGGAAGGAAGTGTGTGTGAAAGAAAAATAATTATTGGTGTGGCAGCTGTGTGCTCTGTTTGCACTCCAGTGTAAATAACGAGGAAGTGTAATCTTCTTGTTAGTGTGTTACATGTAACTGACTGTATATAATGGTAACAAATACTGTTCATTAGAATGGTAGAGTTGCCTCAGTTTTCTTTGCAGTTTGCTGATGCAACTTCATAGTCCATGTGCAAGCAGTATTCTAATTTATTTTGGGTCAGTAGATGAACTTCTATGTTTGTGAAACTTTGTTATGCTGTAAGTGAACTGTAGGCTGTCTGTTAAACGCCTATAATATGGGGCAGTTGTGTTCCGAGATAAAGAGACCTTGTAGAGAGATCTGCTAGCACATAGTCTAAATTCCGTATGTAAATAAACAGTAACTCCCTCCTTGGCTTCTCCATATGAAGTCTGTTTTGTTCACAAGGGTTTATAAAATAAAACTTCCTTTACCTCATAGATGTGTGTGGTAGTGGTATTTTGTGTTGCAGACTAACTCTTCTGTATCTTAAGAGCTAACCATATTAGACAACTTCTTAATTAATTTTAGATAATACAATTTATTTAAAATAGAGCTTACATTTTTCCTGACAGAGTAACTCCTGATGGAGTCCCTTGTTTACAAATTTGTTACGATCCACTGCTTACAGTAGCTGCCTTCACTTAATCTTTTGGCTAATTATCTTGATGTATCAAACCAAAATCCTATCGATTAGACTATTGAATGTGTCCCTTGTATATCCTGTGTGTCTTCTATTTCCTGGCTCACACAGAGTAGACTAGCAGCTGGATTCCCTCTTACTGCTCAGTCTTATTTACACAGTTGTAAGAAATTTCTGTGCAAATCCCATACTTCTGTTTTAATTTTCAAATTTATCTTTGACTAAAATTGGAGCTTAAGTGAGTTGTTACTTTATGCTTCTAAAATCATGTCTCCTAGATGTTTTTTTTTTCTGAATTTAGTAATTATTGAACTTCATCACATTCACCCATTCCTCTCACAGTCCATAACAGTTTGACCTTCCCTTTCTTTCCACCTTCAAAATTTGTCACATTCCCTCCCTTAACTCTACAACTGCTAGGAAATTGATGCAGAATAGCCAGCTTGGCCCTGTACTTACCAAACTTACCCTCTTCTATCAAAGCTCCCTGTCATCTTTTGCCTGATGCTCTGGTTTCTGATGCGCTAGGGCAGCAGGGAGCAATAGTGAAGGGAGCCTGTGCAGTGCCTGCAGAAGGGCATATGAGGGCAGCTGAGTCCTGTGGAGTGTAAAGCCTATGAATCGGCTTCCTTTTGCTCAATATCTGCAGGGTGATGAGGTGGAGCAAGTTATCTCTTGTGTTACATCAGCACTTGTAGATCCAGAGGATCTTGGCGCTTGTGGCCCTTCTGTTGTGACTAAAAATGTGAAGGTGGAATTCTTGCTGTGAGAGATTGAATTAGTCTGTAGAGCCCTGAGTACACTAGACTTTTCTCTCTCCTACTTCTGTTGTTTTATGTGATCAGCAGTTTCTTCTCTTCAGGAAGAACTACCGGTTTGGACTCCTTTTGTATGTGATTTTTTTTTTTTTTGTTCTGTTCTCTCCAGAGTTCATCATTTAACTACAAGTTTGGCCTACAGGAGCATTTTGCAGTGAGAATTTTGAATTTCAAAGTGTCTTTTCATTTTGGAAGGGAATTCTCTCAGATATTTCTTTAAACTAAGGATCTAGTGTCAGACTTAAGATGGATCTGCACATTTTAGTGAGCTGTGTGACCCTTTAGGTCGTTGGGTCTCTGATCTCTGATTTTTGTGTCAGTCTGATGTGAACTGAGTGGTCATGTAGTTTGTGTAGCTGATCCGCTTCCTTAGGGAAAAGAGTAAGTCATGGGCCATGTGATTTTTTTCAACTACATACCACCTACACATGTCATGAGAACAGATTCTTTGGTTTATGTAGTTCCAGATATAAATTAGGTTAGGCATTGAGCCTTGGTATACCTTGAGAAGTCTGTGGGTGGCATCTGGTAACATCTGACAGTTTTCAATATTAAGAAGATGAAAAAATAGTGGTGTTTAGTGATGAAAAAGTTAGCACCCATTGCAGAGATTTCTCCTTTTCAGAACTAATGGAAATGTGGCTTTGTCATCTTATTTTCTTTGACAAAAACATCTATCGACAACTTGGAAGCAACTTGAGGTTCTCTAAGATTGTCCATGCCCTGTTTACATACAAATAACCTTGTTTATATATGGTCCCTGACTGAATTGCTCAGTGACCATGCAACACTTAGAGATGGGGTAGTGATATGGGGGAGGAGGAAGAGACACAGGAACGTGAGCGCTCTATTGGTCTACTGGAACAATTTTGTGAAATGTTGTGTCATCTTATTTTTATCACTGAAGAAGTCTGGAAAAGTTATTCTGCTATCACTCCTGATGAATTTTTGGGCAGGATGTCTTGCTTCAGGAGTTGTTGGGGAATGAAAGTTGGTTTTGTTTTTCCACTAGAAAGACTAAGAAATATGTATAGTATATCCAGTTTTTCAATTGATAAAATTGAAACAAGAATAAATATTTCCCATAATTTGAGTAAATAGGGCTAGAAGGAAAAATACAATGCAGTTGTTTAAAAGCACTCTTAAGATTTTTTTCTCTTGGAAATCCTAGGACGTCTGAGTTCTCTATCAGTGAGTTTCTCATTACAAGAATATAAATACAATTACCTGAACAGCCAGAATGTCACTGTTTGCTGATAAACTCCTATAATACACCAGACTTACTCATTACTTGTAAGGGACAATTAATGTATAATCTGTCATCTCTCTGGATGTGTAGGTACAGAGTTTGGCAGGGAAAGGCACAGCAGAGAATATGCAACAGTATTCGCTGCCCTCAGTCTATTCCTTTTTTCAGGAATTAATTACAGTGCTCTTTAGTCCTACCTAAATAGTGAAATTATTTATGGGGCTCTTGCAAAAGCCTAATTGATAAAGGGATCCTGCTAAACATGTTAGCCTTTGAGTTACTGATCAGAAGCCTTGGGGAAAAATCAGTCCTGCAGGCAACACTATGGAAACCACAGGTGTCCTGCTGTTGGTAAGTCTGCAGCCAGATTTCACTTCTGCTTTCTCTGAAATCTCTTTGCCAGGGATTGCAGGTATCTGGGAGATGTTCACGATCCTGGTTTGCTGTAGCAGGTTCTCAGAACAGACCTCCAGGTAATCTGCTAATACATTTTTTCATAGTGATACCTACTTCAACTACATCTGTATTACCTTCCAGGTCTATCTGAATAATCTATGAATTAATTGTGTATGATACGTTAGAGCATTGGCATTGCATATCTGTGAAATATGAATAGTTTGCACATTCTGTTCCAATGCTTAACATACTGCTGTGACTTGGCTGGAAGACACATAGAAAAACTGAAGTTTTCCAGTGGTCAAAATGGGCAGTGTCAGCCCACTGTGATGAGAGAAACAAGTGAAAATTTGACATTCGTATTGCCCTCAGTCAATGGCATGATTTGATTTTATAACTTCCAGTTGTTTTAAGATACAAGTCTTTATTATTACAATTCTAAGTGAGAAAATGTAGTTTGGGTTTTTTTTGAACAGCATTGTCCTCAATATTAGTATAAGTATTTTTTTTTTCTCAGGCATGTGTATTCATCATGCTTAAAGCATTTGGCATTGAGAATGTACTGCTATGTAAAAGATCTGTCTTGCATATAGTTTCCCGTGTATTAGTGAAGAATAATTTGATAATTATTTTATTTGTTTAGACATTAAGATTATATAATCTCTTTTATAAATATAAACAATTTCTGTTATTCTTCAGTGTAACATATTAGCAGCTTATTTTAAAATCACAATTAGACTCTTACCTGCTCTATAAAAGCAGCTAGCTTCAGGTGGAATGTCTTGGCAATTGTGCTACGGGGTTTTTTTTAAGAGAACTGATGCAAGCACCAGTAGTTTCTTTAGGAATTTGATGCGGCTTTGAAGGCTTGCTGATTCTCTTAAAGTTTTAATGACAAACCTCTAGAATTTGAAAACTGATGGTGACCAAAACTGTAAAACCAAGCAGATTTTTACATGTATGTATTTATTTTATCCTGCTTTCTATTCTTTATTTTTCAGTGCTAGTGCCTGCAATCTCATAAACTTCTGTTCACATGTCAGCCCACAGGCCATTCTTTTGCCTTTTATCTTGTTTGGGAGAATTATTGCCAGACACAGAAAATGATTCTTGAAACTTCTTTGAAGTGTAAGTCTAGGCATTAATTACCAAATTCTTTCAAAGTACCTGTAAAGTAAACTTTCATAATTTAGACTTTGTAGAGTCTAAGTAGTAGTTAAAAGATTTACAAGGCAGTTAATAGCTATCAGGATACTAACTCCTGCTAAAATACTCGCTTTTGTGATTTTGTGTGAGGTTTTAAAATACTGAACTGATTTCTGTCTCTGGAGGTGTTTTGAAAGGACATACTATCCTTTCTCAGTTTCCTTTCACAGCTTACACTTTTGTTAATTTTTCCTTGCAAGACTGTTTTGAAAATCTTTGTTCATGGATAAAATCTACACAAGGTGGATGTGTGCTTTTTATTTGGTTATATCTTTGCAGTACTTATGTAATTTAGTATAACTTAATAGCTAAGCTATTGTAGTGTTTCTTCGATAAATGTACTGATTTTTTTCCCTTTCTTGCCTTATTGCTTGTATGCAGCATCATATTTTCTGTACAATATATGTATTGCAGTTCTATTCCATTAGTTGTTTCATTATCCTTTTTTGTCTCAATACTTCTTCCTGCGTTGGC